ATAAACACAGACATATCTAAAGTTGTAGCAAAGTTGATCCATACAAGCCATAATTCATTTGCTGCTTAAGCTCATCCATATGTTCGTTTGTTTCAGTTTCAGTTTCAGCTTCAGTCCGAACTGCCATCAAAATCAGAGCCATAAGCCCGCACAAAATGAACGCTGCAACTCGAGGCGGAGGTGGCATATGGATGCCGGACTGGATGTCGAGCCGGAATCCGGGCTGGAACAGGAACAGGAACAGGAGTAGAAACTGTGGCCGACCGCAATTCCACGTTTGCCTAGCCGTGAACACGTTCAACATGAACGGCGATTAGTTGCATTTGTTTACGAGTATGGATTTCGGATTTGTCTCCGGCTGTGCCAGGTCGCTTCGCCGGCCACCATTTGCCACGACGTTGTAATGGCCGAGGCAGGGGCAGCGGTAACTTATTGCATCGTGGCGTGCGAGTGGCCAGCGAGTGCTCCAAAGGGGGTGGCTGCCCTCCGCCCATCTAACCATCGGACAATTGGATCGTTCCAGTTAGAGATGTATGTCGCAGAGAAGACAGGAACAAAAATATCGCAATCTTATCGAGTTACAACTTATGGCCAAACAAATCAAAAATTAAAAACTAATTTCAATACCTCTTTATAATAATACTTGAGCTACACCAAAATTTTATTAGAAAGCTAATAAAGGTATAACAGATTTCGATGTCCTGAGTTTAGTCCTGCTCGTAGGCGTTTTGAGAAAATGGACATTAAAGTTAAAAATCAATTTTGATTAATTTTGAACCTCATTAACAGTCAATCAGATTCCTTCAAAAATATGGTCAAGTAAAACACTATGCCTTTGGAATCAATATTTTTAATTACGTTTTACGATTTTTTATTTAGCGATGTTATTAGAAGAAAAGTGAGACTACATCTTTGCCATATAATGAAAATTTATTTCCCGATTAAGGTAGAGGTAATCTCTTGTTAATATTGGACACATTATATTCCTTAAAACGTTGAAGTGGTGGAAAATTATCGCGGCCAGATTTTAAGCTCACTGAAATATACAAAACTTGGGTTAAATTAAAACAAATTATAGACGTCATTTTATTGAGCTCCCCGCAGATTGATATGTTCCTCAAAGAAAGTTAAAAATATTTTGATTATTTATATAAAAAATAATGTAACCCGTACGATTTAAAAGAACATATCAGCAATATACTTATATTGCTTTTTCTGTTTATGTTTATGTTTGTTTAATTTATTTAAAATGATATCCTTAAAAAGTGCGATTTTTAATTCTACTGTTTGCCATCTCTAGCAACAGTTCAAGTGGGGACCGCTGTGGCTCTCGATATGGATGTGATTTCGTTTTCTTTGCAAGTTTATCCACATTGTAAAGTAGACATTATGTTGATGTCCGCCTGAGATCCTGGTCAGCTCAGGTCCGTTGGGCTCGGCTCATATCGCACTTGGGACATCTGCCGACGGTGGCGATAATATCCCTGAAATTATTTTCAGTTGCTCGTACACTGGTTGGCCGTCCTGGTCTTGGCCTTTGTTTTATTGTTATTGTTTCGCTGCTTGGGCCACTGTCGTTTGCCAACTCCGCTACTCTCCCTGCGTCGTAGACTATCATCCAATCCCAGCCAGGACACATTAGTGGAAGATGGACACTTTGGAGCTGTGGGTCGCCAGCAAAAGTTATTACATGTTATATCTCGCTTTTTCCGAAAGCTGTGCCACTTGCAATTATACACTTACTCTGCAACATTGTTTTCGGTGGGGTTGAAAGCGGGCGTGTGTGTTTGTGATTTTCGCATATTGGCGCTGCAAACTAATGGCTTCACTAACGATTGTAACCGTTGTCCTTAATGGCATCCTTTTGGGCATCACGCGCATCCCGTTTTACCGATTTGTTTTGTCTGTCCCACATTCCCCCCTCTACGGTCCATTGGTCATGGGCTTGGTGTATCTATGATGGAATGAAGAGATAGCTTTACCGCCGCTCTTCCTTTGACTTTCCTTGGGTCAGTGCATTAAGGTAATTAGAGTGGTTTGAACGAGAGGTATACAATTTTGAACTTAAATAATATATACTTTACGGATAAATATCTTAAAACATATATTTTGAGTGTCAATCAAAAATATTCAGAAACCGTCATCATAATAATGCATAAATAAAAAAAACATTTTAAGTTATAATTTTAGTTTTGATTTTGAAAATATAAAAAATGTAATATAGTTGTTATATTTGTAGGCGGAAAAATATCTCTAAAAAAATAATGACTAATTTTTAAACAATATTTTTTCGTTTTCAGATATCCGATCAATGAATTAAACAAAATATATATTTTTAATATTTAAATTTATTATATTTCTTATTATTACCTTTTTATTATAAACATATAGCTTTATCCGAAACATATTGCTATGCAAATTTATTATGTGATTATCATTCTTGTGTGTTTTGGCCAGCTCAAGGTCTGGGTTAATTTTAGTGCCTATTTTCTTTCTTTTCTTCTCCTATTTCAAAATTTTAAATTTTGAAAGAACTTTCTCAAATTAATATATATTTAGGCAATTTTTCATTAAATACATAATATTTTTAACACGAATAATACAATTATGGAAAATGGACGTCAATTCTTTTATCACGGTGCTGTTCCTTAAGGTTGCTACCCACATACATCTTTGTTCAACCGCTCTGTCCACACATTTTGACCAAGCTCGTTGCGGTCAAAATAAAAATCGTACAAATTTATTGTTAATAGAAAAAGGGATCGAGCGGATGAGGCACGCACATTAGCCCCTTCCCACTCGCACTCTACTGACAATTCCTGGGCTGCGGGCTGCGGGCTGCGGGATGGTGGCGATAGGGTTGACGATGCCTATCTGGTCATCGCTGGAGCCCCATGGCCACTGGTCACTCGTAAACATCTCGAATCATACGGTATCGAAAATAATCTTACAACGGAAATGGCATATTTAAAAGGCCAAAGGATTGCTGCGATTTAACTTATAAAATCGACGAGCGAATCCAATGTCCAATGCCCAATGCCCAATGCCCAAGGGGAACTTCCCACCCGTGATAGTGCGGAAATCTCATCTCCTGTCTCCCTTTTCCTCCGTGTCCCCCGGCGACGGAGCACAGCACCTTCGGGCACTTTTTGGGGATTTTTAGTGTTTATTGCCGAAGATTAGTTTGTTTATTGTAATCCTTGTTATAAATTAAGCAAAACTTGCGCTTAAAAACTCATTGGCAGCGGGGGCCAGTAAGGGTTGCCGTTGTCGTTGTCCCACCCTCAACGCCGGCAAGTGGGTTTCGAGGAATCCTGCAGCCGTCCTGGGCCATATTAATTTTCCGCATATTTCCCCAAAGGCGTCAGGCGAACTTAGGGCAGATAATTGCTGCAAATAGTTTACGACCGCAGCAGATAAATGCTGCAGTTGAACCCATTTTGGCACAAAGAAATTTAATTTACTTATTGGCGTGGAAAAGGCACACCAATTCATGAATCAATGTTGAACTTGATAATCAGTTAACAAGATAAGGATCGTTATATTGTAGCCTTTGTACTGTATTTAAACCTAAAAATACTTTTACAAATTTCATAAGCCTTTTTAAAGGTTTTTCTTATTTTTACAATCTTTTCAATAAACAGACAAACTAAAAGAATGTAGATGAATTCGCATAAGATTTATTTAAATTGTGAACTAGATTGCTTAGTCTGGTAATTTACCAAGTTTGTAGGCATACACTACTTTGATTTTTTAATAAAAATATTGAAAAAGGTAAAAAAGAATCCTTTTACAAATTTTCTTCGAAATACTATGCAAATCGGCTGGAAAAGCTCGTTCTGTCAGGCCTAACAAGGCAACGTTATTAGAAATTGAAGGAATTGCAGGTAAGTATCAAAAATACCGGATGTTCAACCGACTCATATTTTGTAATATTCCAAAGCTGCAGCTGTTGTGCTTGGCTCATCCAATTCGCCACAGATGAGTTTCCATATTGTTATCGGCGGTGGCGGCTGTTCAATAAGGAAAAAGAAAACCTAATAAGCTCCACACACAGGTGACTTGGGCTGCGAGGGGAGATATCTGCACCCAAACATGAGCAAAGAACTTCAGGTGATGCCATTTTATTTTGGTGAAATGACAAAACTCCATTAAGAATTACGTTACGATTACATTACATTTCCCCCTTTTATTACATTCCCATTTCCAATTCCTTTTTCGCTTGGTTTGGTATTCTGCTGGGCTTCCATTTCCATTTGAGGGTGTGAGAGTTAGCGCGCTTCTAATTGCATTTTAAAATTGCGACACCATAAAATGTGCTTACGGTATAAATAATTATAACGGCATTTGTCGCAACAAACAGCAGAGCCCAACTGGAACCACTGCTCCATGGCCCGAACCAGGATCCGTGGAAAAAGCCAAAGCCGGAGCGCCAATGATTTCGAGTGTCAGGGAGGGGCCCAAGGATGATATTGCGAATACGACGAGTGTGCCGAGGACACTGGCATGCAGTCAGTTGTTGTCGCATCTCCTGGATATTGCATGAGTTTTGTGAGCCCCCACCCCAACTGAATTTCCATTTGCCAGCCAGCCCCGTTTCCATGCGGCGACAATAACGACTACGACGACGACGTCATGCGATTAACGTGAGCTGCATATTTTCAGCTAATTTTCTAATTAAAATGGTATTTATGCATTTTTCAGCTAGCAGAATTAAACATTCAGTGCTAAGAAGGCAGAAACCAGACGAGTGCTCGAGTACACCTCGATTTGGTTGGTTTTTACAGACAAGAGGAACAAGAAAGCAAGGATTTCGGTCTTCCCAAAGGATGTTGATATCAAATATTGCTGAATGTATGTTTCCGCATGTTTAGTTTCTTATTAAGCATTAATTGCGGAACTCTTTTGTGTGTTTTTAAGGTGGTTTAACTTAAGCTAAAAAATTAAAATTTTATTTAGCTATTGCTTGAATCGAAGCAAATCAAAGCAATGAAACGTATGTTTAGATAAGCTTTAGTAAGCTTTTGAAATTCTAGCAAAATCTTTGTAGTAGTTTCTTAATAATATTTTTATATTTTTAACTAAATTGTTTCCTTTTTCAGTTTTTAGGTAAATTGTGTTAACGCTTTAAAGGACATTTTTACAGTACCCTCCCAATAGATATGACTAGTCCTCTACCCATTTTACTGGCCTGCTTCGTGCACCTGATGCTGAACACCACGCTCTTCATCCAGATGGATCCGGATCATTTTGCAGACACCCCCATTGTGGGCAGCCAAATATTCTATCTTTCGTTGATGGTTCTGCTGGGCAACTGCGAAGTTACACCCGCGCGTTGGAAATATGTACCTCCATGGGGCAAGTTTATCCTGGAGACGATCGTCATCTTTCTAATAGGGGAAATTGCGATGGTCGGAATATGGCTGTCTATGGAAACACTTCTCGTCGAGCTCACCATTAACGGTCTCAAATGGACAGGACTTGCCTGCTCGAAAATGTTGATCCTGGAGATTGGCACTTTGGTGCTCGGCATTACCTTTGCGGTGATAGTGGCTGCAATCACAAATCGACCGGCCAAGGTGCAGCAAATTGGACGCCAAATGTGGATCACTTTCAAGACAGCCCAGTCAAGCAGTGTTTCCTGATTGGGAATGGACTGTCCGCGATCTATTTGTTTCCAAAAAAGGCGTAAAAGTACTTAAATCTTTTTTTTATAAACTTATAAACATTGCAGACATTTGTATTTCAAAATGTAAATGAGCAATTAAAGATTAAAAAGAAATATGATCGTCAAACTTCATTTTCATATTTTTTGTTGTGAAATTGGTTTGAGTTTGTTTAAGGTGGATTATGGAAATGCAAGACAATAAGCTACTGAATTTATTAGCTTTTAGTATAAATATATAATTTTTTTAGTTTTTGCCTAATGAGAGGTTTCTGTTGCAAAAATCTTGAAATTACTAATTATATGGATAACACTATCCCCTAGCTGAAATATATCAGGCACACTGACAATCCCGTTCTACACAGATTGTTTAATCAGCTTGAGCTATATTTCGATATAGCCAAAGACACAAATTTACTTTCGGTGTAACTACATTGTTGTGTAAACTTTGGCTTGGCAGAGCAACTACCTCTCCCGTTCGCTATAAAGTCAATTTTAGTTTCTGATCTCGTTGCACTTCCATATTTTGTGAAACTGAACCCTGCTCAGGGAGACTTTGATACGCTCCTTGAAAAGGCGAGCTTGTTACCCGCACTCTTGACAAGGATAATGCATTGGACAGCTGGCTGTCCTGGCTGCTAGGAGAGCAGTCAAACGCAGCTTGCACCGCACTTGGATGTCGCATAAATTTGTGCCCAGACCAGGACACATTGTACTGGGGCAAAGAAGACCAGTCGAGCGCTACTGCGGCTTATGTCCTGGCATCCTGCGAGTCCCCATCCATGTCCCTGAGCCACCGCATCTCCCTCGACGGCGCCAGGTCAAATTTATTTACTGTGTTATTTATTCTGTCACTTTGCAATGATTTGAGCATTCGTGTTGTTGTGCCCCACAGAACTCTGATTGGCCAGGGAAATGGAGAAGGTTTCTGGTGGTGAAATGGCCAACACGGCAGTTTTTTTAAACACTTCATGCTTACAATTATTTAAGATAGTATAAACAGTTATTTTAATTTTAGTATATGCATTCCAGTTTAAAAATGAGACGGCTTGGGGTAATTCGGAAAGTCGAAAGTCGGTTACAGCTGTTGCCAAGTTAATAGGACTCCCACTGTCCCTTAAGTCATAGAGCAGTTGTCAGGTCCGATAAACCTCAGCGGCACATGTGGGCTGAAAGATTTGTATGAACACGATCCTTCGACACACCCCACGCCCCATGAAAATGAAGCTTCCGATTCGCACAGCTCCTCCCATTTCGACTGCAGAGCCAACATGTAATTCTCGCATTTTAACGACCTTCAGCTGAGCAGAACGACGTGTGTCCTGTCGACGGCGACAGATTTTTCTAATGTCTCCATTCGAATCCTTTGGCCAAAGGCAATTAAATGTGCCACGGAGTGGGCGGAGGGGCTGGAGGACACATAATTGTTTTTTGCGTGCGTGAGTGGAAACGAGGCGAGTGCTGGATGCGGGTGAAGTGTCATAAATTCCATCGAAGAAACACGATTCCGTATGAATTATGTCTTATGGTTATTAGACAAAAGGCACATCCCTAAACCCCAGCACAAACACATTCAAACGTGTCGAATCATTCGCTGCACTCGGGCGCTAGAAGGTGTAATTATTAACATTTGTGCTGGGCGAAACAATTAAAAGCGAAAGCAGCTCGAATCAAAGAACAAGAAGGACTCTGACACACATAAAGGAGCAGGAGACGGGGTTTTTAGGTGTGAGCTGGAAGATTGTCAGTGTGAAGAACACATGTGCAATTGCCGCTTGCCTTAATGGGCCATAAATAACCAGGACAACAATGAGGCGGCTGCACTGCATCCACCTTGGCTTACTCCCCCCTCTCCACTTATTTTTTCTTTTATTTATACACTTTTTATACCCGATAATCGCAGAGAGCAGGGGTATCTTGTGTTAGCAAAAACACAAGAATGGTAATATATATTTAACATGGTATCTAAAGTCTCGCTGTGTGTATGGAAAGAACAAGATGACAAAACTTTTCCAACAGGCTCTTCACAATAGTCTAAAAGCCAAACCAATAGTTTTGATATTTATAATGATTATGCAGTCCCTCTCTTAACAGGAACATGACCTTAGAGAAAAAGTTGTTTTTACACTAATAACCCTAAATAAATGTGTAACCGTATAGCAAAGTCGACTACGTCGAACCGTCCTTTTCCTTTTATTGTTGCTCGCCAGGACACATGAAATTATTGCACGTCGACGTGCAGCCAATCGGTGTGCGTGTCCTTGCTGCCATATACACAGACACACAGGCGAGCACACACGCACACACTGGCACTGCATGTGCATGTCCTTCGTCATTCATCAACGGTGTATGCGGTTGCGGCTTAAGGGTGGCACATGTAGCCTCGTCCTTGCCGCCCGCCTCCTTGCACTAGCCGGTTCCTTCCCCAAAATAAAAGAACCCGAATCGGGGAAATGTGCAAAATGTTGAAATGCGTCGACCGCTTTTGATTTATTGTCAATTGAGATGAAACATAAAACGCTGCTGCCAATAAAAGTGTTCGGAGCCACAGGGACGTCGTGTATCCTGCAAAAAGGATAATGCGCAGCGCCTGTTTTAATTGAAAATAAATCTTGTCAATTTACGTCGCGGCCAGACACATCCTGATCCTGCAATTTCTGTTTGCTTTTATGTCTGATTTTCATTTCTTCTACCAAATTGTAAATTACTTCCGCATCCCCTTTGTTGAATGTCCTTTTTTCTGGGTGTTTTACTGAGTGTTTGTGCAGAGCCAAAGGTGTTGCGTACTTGCTGCGCTGGCTGGCCTTTTTTTATGACACTAGAAAAAATATTCAGAGATCCGGCGACGCGCATCCGCAACCTTTTTGGCGAGGTCCTTCGGGGTCTTGTCCTTTTTGCAATAACAGAAAAAATCTACATATAAATAAACATTAAAATACTTTGGCCGCTTCAAAAAAGTCGAAAGTATGCGAAACTTTGTTCGGTTTGTCGAAGAATTGATACCTAATAAATTACTTACGAGTTTCTGCTTAAGTGTCTTTATTTTCAAAATTCTTTGTATATTTTATAATGTTTCCAGTTTATCTTTTAAATAATTTTTACATGTTCAATTAATCCTTATAATGAAATAAAGGGTATATTACAGAAGGAAACATTTTTTTTTATGTTTGTTTACCCTACCTTAGATACAGATTCAATTAAAATACTATGGTTAAAAGAAAAGGCTTTTAAACAAACATTTTTACATTCGTATTATAATTGTATGTTAATATTAAAGTCAAAATCTGCTGTTACCAGCGCTAAGATATAACTTCAGCTAAGTGTAACCTTTTAATATTTGTTGTCAGATTCTTTCGTTCTTATTTTTAATATCAGATTTCTGCAAGAGTAAGTATCCAGTATTCGCTTAAAACCACTTATATTCTTCCATTCATGTCGAAACGGAAGCTTAAGCAAATTCGCCTTCCTCGCCTCTTCCATTATTCTTAAAAATATTTTTAATAGCAGAATAAGCTTTTGTGAACACTTGCATTTTAGTTTGTTTATAGAAATCTTATGAATGCTATCCGTAAAAATGGAAATCAGAATTCGCTTTTTTTACAGCCTTTCTTCAATCTCATAAATTTCTTGTTGGACAATCTTTAGACACATTAAACTGCACGAAAAGCTACCATTAAAACATCGTTCCTCTTGTGTTCTCCACTTTGCCACAAATCAAGGCTAAAAATCATTTAAACGATTTTCCCGCACCCCAGGAAAATTGTCACTTTTGATTTGTTTGCCCTTGATGTGGGGGCGAACTTTGAATTTATTTCCCCTGGCACTTCCTTTTTTTCGGATGATTCGCAGAGTCCCTGCAAGTATCCCATTTGGCGCCGCTTGCATTTCCTTTGGCATTCGGTTTTGTCCAGAATGATTTCATGTGAAGCGGTGATTATTTTCACCTAAAATGCGTTGCCCCGTTCCCCCAAGGATCTGCCGCCCGTTGCCAGTTGCACTTCCTCCGCAAGCACACACACACACACTCGGCTAACTGGCAGGATATTTATGGGCTTTGAGCGTGTTCCGCCTTTGCCGTGGGCGGTGGTGCACTTTCGGTGTTTTTGCCAGTGTCTTTGGCCAGTCGATTCGTTGCCACTGCCCTCCGCCTGCCACAGTGCCACTTGTATTTATGTCTTCGTCTATAAATCCATGTCTTCGGAGCACTCAAACACACACACAATCGCCACGACACACACATGCGCGTCTTCATGTCAAATCGTAGATTTATAATTTTCGGCTGCGTCGCCAATGCAACTTGCAGGCAGGACATAAAAAATCTGAGGAAGTGAGAAGGATATCCTCTGCACCAGATTTGAGACTTCAATATACCTAGTACTAGCAGTAGGCTTCTCGAAAATGGTTCTTATTTGTGTGCAATTACTGGTAAACTAATAACTTATGTCATTATTTTGAAAATCTTATTCTGACTCTTTTTTTTATTTTTTATTTATACCTTTTATCGTCCACACATTAAAAATACTAAAGTACCTACAAGACTCACTTTTGAAAACCACAATCAGCCAATATAAATAATTAACTAGCTCCAAAACACAAAAGCTAGTCACTATCTAAATTCAATTCATTAATATTAATATTCAGTTTCAGAATTTTTCAAGATTTTAAAATTATTGTTTTGGGGTTTTTCAGATATGTTAAGGAATATATTTACGTCTGGTTGAATTTTAATTTAAGTTTGGTTTGGTCAAAGCACATTACGAACTTAAATGTTATAATAGTAATGATTGGGTAATGTACTTCTTACTATAATATACCCATTTAAGTTCCCTATAAGCGGGTATGATAAGGAAACAAACACTCGCTGACATCATCCGGGTGAACAGAAGGAGGATCGATTGTGCCTGTGCCCAAACCAAACCAAAACCAAAACTGCATTTCGAACTTAGGGTTGGAGTCGCCTCGACTCGCCTCGGTTCTGGGCTGTCGAGTTCCATGAATTATGATTTTTGATTGAAGTTGAGTTATTGCAATTCAATTTATTATAAATGCGGTTGCCACGAACCTTGCATTGCCCACCCTCCATCCCGCCACCCTTTTTCGCCTGGAAGGCAGCGCCTGCCTAGGACATTGAACTATGAGTTCTTGGCGTGGCCGAATTCCTGCCCCTCGTCCCTTTCGACGGGTGTGTGTGTGTGCCGTTTTCGACACTTTTGCTAAATTTATTGCCGATTATTTTTACATTTCTTTTTAAATTTTTTCCTTTTTTGTAGCCACCCCTTGGGTTGGAGGGGGGTTCTGAGGCGAGGGCAGGAAAGTGTTCCTAGTGTCGCGGCAATTATTTTTAACATTTTTGTTGATTTTCCATTGATTATTCGGTGTTTCCTTTGTCGAGAACATTTCCGGCCAACTATGCAAACTTCAAGCCCTCTGAATTTGAAGACAATTGAAAGGAGGTTCAATGGAGCATGAAAACTGTCCAAGGATTGTAAAAATTCACCCAAATAAAACGGACTGACTTAAAATAGTCATTCATTATGCTTAGCATCTGTCCATTTTTAAGTGAAAATGTAACATTTAGCTTAAAAAATATTTAAACCAACTCCAGCAATATAAACTAAAAGCAAGCTTCAATTCGCCATTAACATTAACGATTTGTTTCTTTACGATTCAATTAAGGCAACTAGATTTTCAACTCGTTTTGAGAGTTCCCAACCCCATTTGGCCATTTATTTAGCCCGACAATCCATTACGCCCTGCATATGCAGCCCATCAGCGATATTAGCTATTGGTGCGCGACTATTTATATGGCGCATAAATCAGAAATGGGGGCCAAATGGCCCGGACACTTTGCGTACGCGCTAACCATGAGTTACTCGCAATTAAGAGAAATATATTAGTCTAGCAGCTGATTTAATTATTTAACGATGAAGTCCAAGTCGCGGACGGCAAACGAGGTCCAGCTCCGAAAGTGGGGGCGGGCATTACCAGCACCGGGCCGTAAACAAGCCGAACAGCAGCCGGATCTGCCTCTTCTAAGCGCCGAGACGACCGCATCACATTCAGACAAAGGCATCATAGTCCGGCCGGACCGTGGTGTGGGTACGGGTAAGGATACGGGCATGGACACGGGCATGGGCACGGGCACGGGCACGGGCACGGGCACGGGTTCAGGGGCAGGATTCTGTAATTGCACCAACGCGCATAATTCATATCAAATGACCATTTTAAAATCCTTTTATTTCGGTGCGTCGCCCTGTCTCTGTGTGCCATGGCTCCATCTCTCTGCTTATTTTACACTTGAAACATTTATTGGCTTTTACAAATAAAAATAAGATTTAAGAAATACAAATTTATACAATTTTATTTTTATAGAAGTGTAAGAAGTGTGGTGGGGGACTTATTATTCTAAAGAAAATACAGATAAACTAATAACAAGTTTTATATAAAATTATTGAATGCATCGCTTAAAATTCTAGTCAAATTTTTTTGGAAATTTCAATTAAAATTAATATTGCATTTTGGTCCCCTGGCCTTTAAATAAATGTCTTTTTATATTTTATTATAAAATTGTTTTTTTATACGATATGTATATATATTGGAGGTATATTATTATTTTCTTACTATTTTGAAATAAATAAATGTAACCTTTTTTTTAACTAGCTCGAAGAAAACAAATGGTTGCATTTTCTTTAAGTGCACCCCACCCCCCAGAATATTTGAAATAATAATTCTTCGAGATAAATTACCCAAAAACAGGTGTGTCAGTGTGTGTGTGTGCTACTCTAAATTGCCCTGATGCTGATGCTGATGCTAGTCCTGCTCCTGATGCTCCTCCTCAGTGGACCCCACCCGCCTGCAGTCTCCACGCGAGACAATGACACAGAGCCACCACTACAACTGCAGCAGGATATCACTCTGCCCAGCCATCCTGCCATCATGCCATCATGCCATTTTGCTATCCTTCTGGGCCGTTCCCATTCGGGCTGCTTCTGCTTCTGCTCGGAGGCCAATCCGACAACCAAAACCCAATCCTGGTTTGCAGCCTCGTGCGCTGCCAGTCGGTCAGTCGATGGCGGATGGGCTTAAGTGCTCGGCTGGCCCCTCTGGTTCGTCCTGTTCGTCCTGTTCGTCCTGCTCGTCCTGCGTTTGGCATTTAGCATCAGGAAATTATGCTGACGCTGCCAACTGGCCACGGAATGGGACAGGCATGGGAATCGCACGGCCACTGAGATTGGACCCGGGCAATCAGCGACGTCTGCAGATGTGCATGCACATCCACGTCCATATCCACGTCCCTCCTATCTGTCCCAGCTTCAACTCCAACCCCCTGCGCAGCGCCTGCGCCAGCTCCTCGCACCGTGGTGTCCTCATTAAACTCGCACACACAGACCCACTCTAATGAGTTCCCGAGCTCCCCGCACGGGGCATATGCTGTCGTCCATTTCGGTGGCAGGGCACATGCACATTCTATCCGCGTTCCAGTTGATAGCTAGCCACCAGTAACTAGTCGCTGGTAGCCAGCACCAGGACCCACCCAGTGAAGTCGACGCTCTCGCAGTGCTGTGTCACACATCTGGGTGCAAATTATGGCACATTTCAAACAGCACCAAACGGCACTGGAAAAATGCATGAAGCGGATAGTTTTGTTTTTTATACTCGTGGGGTAAAATGGTATATTGTAGAAGGAAGCTTTATAAAATACATATACAGGATACAGCCTGCAGATGTTGTGATGGAAATGCAGCTAATTTTAATTTCAAAATCTTGGTAAAAATATGTTTATTTAATAGACCTCAATAATAACCAATAATAACTTAATAATAACTCAATTCAATAACCATTTCAAAAGGTTTTAAGAAGTTAGTCCTAACATCTTATGTACGGAATAAACCCATTTTAATAGCTTTGAGATCGGGTTGGGGATCCAAGAAAGATGCGCTTAGGAAATTGTTTAGGGAATATTTTGTAATTAATATTAAGTTTTAGAGTTAAGTTAGCTGACAAGCCAGATAAGAGTTTATTCATTGGCGACTAAATAAATTGATGAACCCATTTTATTTTAAAATTATCTCTGGGTTTATTATACAAATCGATTTAATTCACTTTTTGATGATAACTGACACATTGTTTTAATTTACAAAATAATGCAAATTTCGATATATGTATATGTTTTGTACATAATTAGAAAGCAAACTTTTGAATCGCTTAAAGTTTACAGCCATTCTTATTTTATGCCATTTCCATGACATAGTTAAGTTAAATTTTTCCGCAGTGCACTTTGCACATAGCCCAGCGACCTTAAATCGAGTGGCAGCCAGAAAGAGAGCGCGATAATCGCATAAAGGTTTACATTTATGATGCTCCAGCAGCCCGGGGCAATTCTAGGTCCGGATAGGTGCATGGTGCCACCTCGTGGCCCAAACCCCAACCCAATTCCAGACCCCCTGTACATGGGGCACTGATGCAGCTGGCGGGGACTCAGTCACAAACACCTCGGCAGTAAAACATTCGGCTGACGGCGGCACACAAAGTCTGATGCAGACCCACGGACGGACGGACGGACGGACGGACAGCTGTTTGGGAGAACCGACTGCGAATACGGATACGGCAGTTCCTCGGTTCGGTTCGGTTCGGATCTGGCCGCCTGGAGGAGGGTAAATGCCACTGCATCGGATGCCCACCCCCAGCACCTCATCCTCACCCTTCGCACAACGAGAACAAAAAGGCGCGAAATCCATTCGCACATAAAATGCGCCACAGTGTGCATTATTTTAATGTCACTGATAAATCATTTTTATGTCGGTGCTAAATCAAAAGATGGACGAGCAAATGCCGTATTTCAAGCCAGGAGCGGGGGGAGCTAGCCCGGTGTCACACATGCACTCGGCAAAAGGTGTGCCATGGCTACGGGTTATGGTCTTTGGGCTATGGGTTTCGGGTCCACTCCGCCGCTGCATTCGTCCATTAAAATGCGCTCCGGTGTGTCCAAAACACAAGCAGGGCTTCCACTCCGGACTGGGCCTGCAAGGCCCGTCCGTTTATTTATTATTAACACAAAAAAGACCCTGAGGACGAATTGCAGTGCTTCTCCGGCTCCCGGCTCCCGTTCCTGTTCATGGCCTGTTCATGGTACTGTGTCTGAACGGAGACTTGGAATGCGCAAACTGCCCTGAGTGGCTGCCGCCTGCTCATAATTCGTTGTCCTCATCGGAGCGAGCTCGGCACTGCAGAAATTCATCTGTTTGCGGTTCAAACACGTGCCGTGGCCAGAAATAATGTGCACCGGAATCTGCCCGGACTAATGGCCGCACAACACGGTATTTGACTTAGGCTCAGTCCAGCGACTTGGTTCGCTCCAATGCCAGCTCCCAAAAGAATGCTAGCTGCACTGGCCATATAGCCAAAAGGATCCGTATGAAATTCTACTTTTGCATTTTTTAAATTGGGGTCCCAACATATCAAAAATTCTTAACCAGATCAATTGGTGAAGCGAAGAATAGAAACTGATCTTAATGTAAAACAATTTTAATTCTCATCCCATTAATGTAAATGTAAGTACCGTCATGTTGGGGAATAATCCCCAACTGATCAGTAATCAATAACAGATCAATAACAGTTATACAAAATTCTAATTAAAAATTAGTAACATGTAATTTCTAGAATGTTCCATATTAATAACTTGGTAATGTTCTTTACTAAAAATCAGTTTCATTTCTTATTGAATTTAGTATATGCATGATCCTATTTTTTGCAACTCCATACTTAAATATTTCTCCAGAGCTATCATTCTATCCTGGATTTACCTTTCAAAGTTTTGTTGAGGGCTTGTCATTTCCTAGATTTTATTCCCGAGTCTATTCCCAAATCAATCAAGGCGAGTTGGCACAAGTTATTTAGCCAGTAGGAAAATCAGTTCCAAATTGATTCAGCTGTGTAAGTACTCTACGCCAAGAATGATAACCACTAACAGACTGGGTGCAGTTGCAGTCATGTTTCCCACACTGCCTATTGAGCCTGCTAAAATAGAGGAGCGTTCTAAGGAGGAGGTCCGTGCCAATCTAGTGGTTTTTGCCATCACCTGTGCTCTAATCCGATTTATTCCGATGGCCATAAGGAAAATAGCTTAACGTACCCCTCGGATGGCTCTTTGGGGACTCGGTGTTTAAGGCATAACGTGCTATAATATAACCTAATACTAATCATTAATCATGTTATGCGAAGTGAAAATAAATAAAATTACCAACATTTGTATCGTTGTTTAGCGATAGATACATAAAAACAAAAATTTACAAATAATAGTATTTGCAGATTGACATTTCTTATTACAAATCGCTTTAGTAGTAAACTGATAAAAAAAAGCGGAATAGTAAAAATAAATATCTGACTATTGGATTTTAAATTGTATATTAAATAAAATTAAATATGAAATTATAATAATAGTTTAATATTTAAAATTAAGACTAATGCGAAAAATATTAGATTTATAATAGTTCCTATTTGATTTAATTTTAATTTGTATAGGTAAATATGAGACAATAAATTTTTTTTAATATTTTCATATTTAAAATAACTAAAAACCGCAATGGATGAAAATCAAAGAAAAAATATTTAAATTGAATACAAAATATTTGGATTTACTACGTTGTTTTTACGAATGATTGGATAAGAATAATGAATAAAGTATTTAAATAAACATAATCAGGTAAGTATATACATAGCTATAATGCAAAATATTGGTATTTATTTAGGTATTTATTATTTTTATGTTAAATCTACTGCTGGTCCTATTTTAAGCATGATTTCATGTTATACCATTAATCAACCAAACAGCTAGTGTAACTTGATGGTCCGACTCAATTTTAGTTAACTCAACAGAGATCATTTACCGCTATTAATACATCCAATTTTATACAATCAAGCTGCGAAAACCTCTCGGGCAGGCGATTAACTTCCACTTGACTTTGATTTGAGTGAACCTCGAGGACCTCAGCTCACTGTTGGCCCAGCGGCTTCGACGCCCTCTCTTCGCAGCCATGACAAGGGGAGTATAAATCAAATAAACAAACCTCATTAGCATATTATCAGCATCAAGTTGTGACGCTGCCCGTCATCTTAAGTTCAAGTGAGAAATCTGTCACGAGGCATTAAATCGTCTGCCGTGGCGGCCCCCAAAAGCCGCAAGGATAACAGGACGTGGGTGAAAGTGGGAGTGTGAGTGGGAGTGGGAGTGACGGCCCGCTGGAGGCGGAGGCGGGCTGAAGCGTTGCCCGGAATCCGGCTCACATAATTATGCGTGTAAACAAGCTGATGATAGTCGACGACGCATTGCCCAAAAGGGTTAAGTGCCGTCCCACCTTGAAGCCACCCACCCCTTTTCGCAACGAAACACTTCACTCAACTAGTGGAAAACAAATTGCCGAAATTCCTCAAGGCCTTCAGCTAGTTGTAGTTGCTGATTTATGCGCGTTGTGCTGGCAACAATTAGAAAAGTTACCGCAGGATGTGCGCGCACAACACCCGGGAAGAGATGTGTCTGCTCCTGTCACGACTCAGTCTCCGTCTCCATCTCCATCTCCATCTCCATCTACATCCACGACCAAGTAATCCTAGCTCACCGTTCTGGCCCGTTGGCGCTGTGCGTTTTAATTTGACGAAAGACTGATGACATCTCATTAATATTCATTGCCGCTGCTGCAAGGCGCTGCTGGGATTTTGCGGCCATATATCCTGTTTACGCCAGAGTTTATTCATTGCCTCCGTCCTGTTGTGTAGCTGTGAGGGCCCAGGACTCAGAGATGGATGCGTCGACGCCGTCGTGTTGGATGGCTCGATGTCCTGATTCTAATGAGGCGTTAAATGTTCATTTTTTCTTTCCGCTCCGGAAGGGTGAATAAGTTATGTTCCTGACTGGGTAAGTTATTGTGAGGGAATCTCAGCGAGAAGGTTGCTTTTTGGATGGCTAAGATTCCTTTAACGAAATTAGGCGGGTGCTTACGGATAAGTGGGCGATCCATGATATATTATTGATCGTCAAAACGAAAATGGTAGCTCTCGAAAAATCAAGAATAATTATTGTGAAATACTCTAATCCCTCCTCCACCTCCACATAACCACCACCACCTCTAAGTATAACCTCTTAACGACCCTGTCGTACCCTGTATATAAAGTGTATTTAACATATTTAAATTGCAACCGTCGTTATCCACTTTTGTTCAGCAGTTTATGGTCCAGCCCCACACGACCATAAGTATTTCAAATTAATGGCGACACTTCAAAATAATTATGAAGCACATGGCACCCAGAATGGGAGGAGTCCTCCATCCGGAAAAGGAACCGGATGGTTTGTTTCGGTGTGTGTGTGTGTGTGTGCTTACCTCTGGCACTTTTAAGATGCTGCCGTGACATATTTATGAAGTTCAATTATCATAAAATGCAAATGAAATCGTCATGGCCCAGAAAACGTCAACCTAAGCGGCCTTAGGGGAGGCCCTCTGAAACGCCCTTTCCCCCACCACAGAGTCCTCACCTCCAATAAAACAAACCGAAGAGACGCCGACGCCGACGCCTAACCCCGGACCTCGAGACATGGCCAAAATTAAGCGATTTAGTTGCGATATCCGCCAGCGAAGAGGCCGCCCCTTTGACCCGCGATGGAGTTGGAAGTGGGCGGAGTGTAGCTGGGCGCGGGAAGACAACAATGTCAGTGTCAGGACGGGACAGTGTCAGTGTCTTCCTGGGGCTCGGGGTTCTACTTCAGCGGAATTTTATCTTCGGCTGGCGCTATTAAAAGAAATTACGCTCAAAACTAAATTGCGGACCGAGGGCCGAAGAAAAGATGAGCGGCGGACACCAGGAGGCATGAGTGCACTTCAAACTAAAAGTCCCCATTGGAATTTTAATTCTTTTAAAATATATTTTTGTTATAGCAAAGCAAATGTAAAATCTCTGAATATATATTCCATATTACATTACTACAAGAAATGTTAATTTCGATTTTTTGGATAAACGATTCCTTGAATCTGTAAAGCTAATATATAAAAATGTAAATAAATAAATATAATTATACGCAAATTTAAGAAGTAAAGAACCTATTATTGTAGGCCTAATAAGCACAGCTTTGGAATTCATTTGGCTTTGATTTGCATTTTTCCCAGTGTATTTTGGGGCGGACGTTAGAGTCATCTGGGGGACAGCTCCTCCAGCATTGAAATGAGAAACGATTATGTTTGGGCCGCGACCCGGGCATAAAGAAATGCCAAAGAACAAGAGGAAAACTTTTTAACTTGTTTGCCATGTTGCTATTTACAAGTCCTGTGGGACATCCCATCCTCCGTCCCTCGTCTCCCGTCCCCCACTTAAGCCCCCTCCATTTACCAGCCACCAGGTAACTCCATTGCCGCATTGCGCTGATGCTTGCGATTTTCGCGCTGTTTTCTTTGTCTGCGCCTCGTCTCTCACTTGTCGCCTTTTCGTTTGGTTTTCCGAGCTGCCCCAATATGTTTCCGTTAGTTTTGGGGGTTTTCCAGGGGGTGAGGTACTCCTTGGCCGGGGGATGCAGGCTACCTCCGTTATGGTAATTTAGTGGCGCAATTTTGTGGAAATTGATGCTGTTGCTCCAAGCGTTTGACCAGGGGCTGAGGGAATTGTCTCTGTCTAATTTGTATCCCGCCCAGCATGCATTTCAATACGCATTTAAATGTGCAAAAGGTGTTCCTTATCATTTGATTTTAGGCAATTTTTGATTTCTTTAATTTTCGATCAGGTTTTTTCTACACGTAATAAAATCTGACCCATAAAAACGACTATATCTATATCCGCCAGAACTTAACTTCGTTAATTTGTTCGCTTTTAAAGAATATACACTGTATGTCCTTCTGTTTTCAGCTATTATCCCTTGAGTTGACTAAATCATAGCTGGCATATTAAAAGCAATATATTCGCGCAGTGCACGCTGGTCGTGTTATGTAATCGTTGCCAGATCGACGAAATTCGTCGACATTGTCGGATTCCGTGTGCTTCGGTCTACTCTAAAATTTACTTTTTTGACAAAACAGCCAATTCAAATGTATGCCGTCAGCTTGCAACTATTATCTAAGCATTGTTGATACTTTTAATATATGTACATTTTTGTACAAATAAAGTTAATCTGTGAATTAAAATCTTTATATATGTTCAAAGCTATAGCCTAGCGATCTTTTAATAAAAGTAGCATCAAAATGGCAGGCAATTTTTCTTAATTTTGTTTTAAGTTTTCGTCCATATTTTGATCCTTGAACCAACTTCAACCTCAAAAGATGTAGTTGTTTATTTCTATCGTCTGAGCCTGGCGTACGTTCACCCAGAGTTCATTTCAGATATCTGGCAACATTTTGCTATTTCTGCTATTTTTTCGTCGATCTGAGTTCCGGTTTGAGACAAGACATCGAGAAAAGTGTCAGGCGGTTATTTGCCTCTAGCTCTTTCTCGTAGCTGACGAACGGAGCTCGTCTATCTGACTACTTGCAGCAGATGCTCCTCTGTCGCAAGAGTCCTAAGGTCCCTCTAATATCCCAATTCCACTGGCATTTATATTATATAGTTTTCCTTGACGGATAATGAAAGGTATTGACATTTTTAAAGTTTGTTATCAAATTGAAAGCAAACCGCTCCAGTGTTTTGCCACTCCCATTAAGTTTAATTAACATTTAAAAAGAAGTGCCTCAGGCACATCACATTTAAATATATATTGTTGTATGGTATGTAACGTATTTAATTTTGAATCTATAGGTAAATGTACGAAAATGAGTTAAAGATTGCATCTGTTTATATTATAATAACGAATTTTTGTCTGTCTCGTAACAACAAAATGTATTCTTAGACTGACCGTACTACCTCCAATTTCACGCGAATTAATATTTAAGAGGGTGGCAACTCTAATTGTGTTATCGAGCTTCGATGGCAAACCATAAAGCGGCATTTATCTGCAAATGTCTTATGCTTTGCAAGTTCTTTGTAAAATTTAGTGTGTAAGAAACGGATTAAATATGTAAAGTGGTACAAGAGCAGTCAAATAAATATTGGGAATGCCAAACAATTGAAATGTAAGTAATTTTATTTTGGAATGCTTCTCATACTCGTCTACGAATTGCATATTGTATACAATTTTTTTGCACGCCGTTGGAATATATTAGAGGTAACGATGTCAGAGCAGGATGGAAATGATAATTTGGTGCCACTCCCACCCATCGAGAAATCGGAATCCTTGTGTCTTCACACTGGAAATTCACAAATTGAAGAAACTAAACCAGAAGCTCTCGATTATAATCATATTGAACCGGAAGACTTTGGCTTGGGTGAGATATAATTTAGCTTACGTGAATCAAGTAAACAAGTTATCAATGGACTGCTTATTCCATCAAAGACGAGTTAAAGGATGCTACGAATGTCCCCTCAAAAAATATTACAATCAACACGATTGAAATATATTCACCACCTATGGAAAAAGCAAACAAAAGTTTTCAGGGTACGGAAAAGTTAAGATTTTCAGAAAAGTAAGCAAGCTTGCATTGAATTTAAAAATACTATTTTTAATTACAGATAATGCCAAATGTAGTGATTTTTCGAAAATCACAAACAAAACAAGGTTTGTATTTAATTTTATCTTTTAAAAACCTATCACTAAACTTGTAATATTTGTTTAGTATGCCAAACGAAATCTCAAAAAAATCTTTAGCCCAATCCAGTTTTGTATACAAACCGTTCGATTATACTCTGCATGGCATGACGGATTTCGGTAAGTTTGCGTTGTTAAAGTATGAACATTTCTAACAATTAATCATTTAAAGAACATTTAATCGATTCTGAAAGAAACAAAAGCTCGGAAGCAACAGATCCTGCTCTGTCTTTTGAGAAACAAAAGGAAGCTGTTGAAGTTCCAACAAAGAACAGTACGATCACTGCGATTAGAGCTCAATCGTTTAATAATAAAAAATCGATCAAAAGACTCGACTGTTCTCAAATTGATGAACAGGATGATACCCTAGGTGAAGAAGCCGATCCTATTGACATGTTTTGTTCCACAATGAGAAACCCAGAGGAATTGGTTTCCATGTTTGCAGCAGATGAGTCTGAAATAAGCATTCAGGATACCCAAGAACCAATTGATTCCCAAGAAGAAATTAATTATCAAGAGAGTATGAAAAACGCTATAAACAACCAGGAAGAATTTAAAAAAAGCAATGACAGGCACAATGAATCCTCAGATTTAAAAATTGGCAAAGGTATTTGTGTCTCACATGATTCGCTGAAAATAGCGGGCAATGTTCCGCCAATCCAAAATTCTCAAAATGATTTGGAAGAATCAGGGAAAGGCGTTGATACAGGGAAACATATTGACACATTGCTGAAAAACAAGACAAGCAGACTTTTGGAGTCTAGTCAGTTATCCGACGACAAGGTCGCAGATGTGCAAGTTTTTAAGCATATATATAATGATACATTGGAATCCGGGGAGATATTCGAAGATGCCTCTCTGGAAGCGCAGCAAGATCAGATTCGACACGAACACAGAGCCTCAGATCTGGAAGATGGCGAAGTAGCTGGCGATGATAATAGCCCAAGTGATTTACCCGATTTTCTGAATAAGAAAGAGATCAAGAGCAAGCTATTGGAGTCTGGTGAGTGGTCCGGAGAGAACACTTTGGAAGACGGTGAAATATCTGACGAGGATGACTATGAACCAAGAGATCTGCCCCAAAGTGAGGAGAGCTGTATGCCAATCTGCCGTTTTCACATCCGCAACGCCTGCTCTTGGGGTAATAAATGTCGCTTCCGCCATCCGGAGCCGAGCAACAAGGGTAACTATGTGATGTTTGAAAAGAAGTTTCTGCCAGAGGCCCCCCATTCGAATCTACCAGGTGAGTCTGCGTATTATCGGGTTTTGAAACAGAGCCATTTCAATTTGGTTCAAAAAAGCCTATTGAGTTTATTACATTTCAAAATCTAGTTATAAATAAGACATAAAAAATTAATTTTAAGTTTTAATTAATTTAACAGCTTTAAGAACTCATTATCTTGCTAATTGCAAGTCGCCTTTTTTGACTAAAATAGTTTGTGACATTATTTCACTCAAAAAAAAAGAGAAATATTTAAAATACAAAACTTTAACAGCAAACTGTTCATCGATTAATTTGCTTTTAACAAAATATAGCATGGCCTGCTTTAATCACAACCAGTGTTGACGCCCACGCCCATGGAGCTAAGAATCTGAATAGGGGACCTCGGAGCTCCGGGTTGAACGACTTGGACACCGATCCCTACTATTCAAAAGATCAGTCGGAGGCCTCGGAGCGTTTTGCTTTGCTGCCCACGCCGACATTCGATGAGCTACTGATGTCGCAGAAGAACTACCAGAAACGGTCATTTCGCAGCACAGCGAGGACCTCCAAGCTAAGACCGATAGCGTGGGAAAGTCGACTGAGCAGCAGTTCGCCCTCCATGACCTGGCGGGAATCGCACTCGGATAGCAGCTCTCCTGAGGGATCGCCACGCCGTCGTGGCAGGCACATTCGATCCACTATCCGGACAACGACGACGCCTTCGTTGCCCTGCAGGCACTCGCTCAAACGCCATCGAACTGCGAGCCTTTCTAGGTCCTCTGCCTGCAAAATTCGGGGGCCTCGCACACCATCTTGCAGCCCACCAAGGCGTTCCAGTATCGTTGCTCGTCCCGAACCGAAGCGACAGCGGCCTAGCAAGAGCACTATAAGTTCAAGTGAATCCTCCGAGTCGTCTAGCTATGAGTCCACCACCGAAAGCTCCGACGAAGTATCGTCTTCCTCAGAGTCCGATTCCAGAGGCACAAGCTCTAGGCGAACGGGAATAACCAGCCAAACTGCATTGGGAGCTTCGGCCAAAAAGGCATCAAGGAATTCAGAAAAACTTTCTTCGCGGGCACAAACATCATCGTCGAAAAATCAAGAAATATCTACTCCACAACGACGATCACGGTCTTCAACATCTAAATCGCACACACAAACTTATTCGAAATCTTCGACAAACACTCCGGCTAGAAATCCGCTAAAAGTGATTCCCAATGCTCCAAAAAAACACCACAGCGCAGTGGATAATTCCTACAGTGTAAAAAAAAAACAGTCTCGACAGGAATACTTACTCTTGCAACTTTTACGCGTGGAGGCGCAAATCGCCAAAAAGAAGAAGCAGCGCATGAAAGCTCTAAAGAGATCATAATCTTAATCCTGATTTCAATATCAATACCATACGTCATATTGTTAGCTATAAGATATTTTTCCTTCGTTATCTAATAAAAACAGAGTTCTTTTCTTAATGTGAACTAGGCATTAACTGACTATTTAGGTTACAATTGAAGAATTAGATATAGAAAATGTCTGACTTATCTTATTGTTAAGTGTCATACTTTTGCCTAATCAAATCCGGAAAGGCTAAAAGCCCATAAGCCAAATGAGATTGATAAATTCCGGCTGTGTAAACAGCCATGTACCTATCTCCAGCGCCGACACACAGCCAGGTGGCATAGGCGACATGTCCATAAACCACGACGACCAGGCCCATGGTGTGCACTTGGAGTTTGGAATCCAACAGCAGCAACAACTTCGACTGGATGCAACAAGAGCGCATCTGTAGCTCCCCAAGTGGGTGAGTGTGTGTGTGTGTAGTCCCTGCTAATATCCTTGTTAATATTATTAAACATTATTTATGGATTTGTTTAATTTGTATTTAGTAAGGCTTCGCCAGGCAACTCTGACTACGTGACTTCCAACTCCATCCTCCGTCCTTCGGGGGAAAACTTAAGATCTGCGGTCGTCTGGCCTGCCTTCGCCGCCTGCTCCGCCAGCTGGGCCAAATGTCCGCCACCTTCCAGTGCCACCCCCCCAGCCTCCTTTTGACCCGGCATCGTCGTCGCCCTGGTGGAACAATTACATGGGTTTGCCTAATGAATTTATCTGCTCATCAGCATCTCCACAGACTTGCATGCATGGCCATGGCCTGTGCACCGCCCAGGATGTGAGGATGAGAGGATGTGAGTGGGTGCTGGATGGGTGGTTGCGGGTGCAAGTGCGGGTGCTGGCGTCTCAGTAAATATTATGTAGATTTCCTAACACGAATTATGTTCATTTGCCGCCATTCTGCGTGTTGTTATCCCACAGTGGAAGATTTTGCTTGGGCGAAAAGTTTATGAAAAACCAGTCGACAAAATGGTCTCACAGTCGGGCAATCTCTTTTAGAAAATATTGGAGATGAGTACGAGAATTATAAAATAAATATATATATTAATGGCATAGCAGAAATGAGTATTTAAGTTTTTGGGTTTGAATGTTCGACCAACTATAAATTGACATAATTTTTTGAACTTCACATTAATTATCTTATGAATATGCAAATTACCTAAAAGGTAGAAAAATATTTTTATTTTTAAATAAGCTTGATACAAAACGTGTTTCTTACCCTTTTACCTCAACTAGATATCTAAATACTTATTTTCGCAAATACTAGATACAAAAAACTAGTATCCCAATCCTGCCCATTACATAGAAATGGTAAAACAAGTGCTCCATAACCTATTTAGTAAACAAGATCTACCAGGAGCTGGTTCATCTCTAACTACAACGCAGACATTGTACTTTGATTGGGGAACCATTTTATTACCATCTTAATCGTGATTTGTTGCTCTGTCTGTTTGGCTCTGGCAAACGTATTAATTTATGGATTAAGTTTGCATATGATGGTAATTAATATGAACTTCTTACCGGAGTGGCAGAGTGGGTTATGAGAAAGAGCGGTAGATATATAGAGCACATCATTGATTGCAAGACAATATAAATATTAAGACCAAAAATGATTTCTTTGAATTAAGTAAATATTATCTTAAGTTACTCATCGTCCTTGCTGCTTAGTTCTTCTCTCAGTAACAGAATTTCATCATTTAGGTAATGGAACATCACAATCAAAGTTATAATAAGCAACTGCACGAGTGTCATCTGTAATATAAACTTTAAGATATGTATACTTGTTCAAGAGTAAAACATTACCATGGTGACGTAACTAAGATTAAAACGAATGAGTGAGTCAAATTTGACATCGAAAGTTCTGCGAAGAACGCCCTTTAAATCTTTGGCGACATGTCTCATTCTTTTCGATAGAGAAGTCCGCTGGGCCAGGAAGAAATCAAGACACGCAATAAAGCTTAGACGCTGAAAAATGTGTATATTTAGGCAATATATTGAAAAAATATTGTACTTTTATATTTACCTCATTCGCCATTAGGAAGAGAACAAACATCAAGGAGATGTAATCACTAGCAATACAGGCGTATATGGATGCATTTGCCGCGTAGAAGATTCTTCGCTTGCGATCCTCGAAGATAACGTGCCAAGTATTCCAGTAGTAGGTTAGGGAATATATACCAACCAGTAGGCAGTTTCCGTTCATGGCAAAAAGGAGTATCAAGGAGTGCTCCAGTGACTGAAAAAAGTCACGAAAACTTGTTGCCAGAACCTCCAACTTTCTTTTCAGACCATCCAAGTTGTCCAAACTTGAGTTTTTCGGGGAAACAGTGAATGAAGTGGAAGCGGTATCCCGCTCGGCTTCTAACAAATTTGCTCTAAACTCCTCCTCCACACTCTTCTTAAGCTGCTTCAATTGGCAGCAACTTAAAAATGCCAAAACCATATATAATTTGACCGATCCAGCTAAAATCAGATGAGGAAGAAATAGAGCCATTCCTATCATCGCATCTTGCAACGGAGGTAGCTCGAATTTCATTTCATATGCTATGTAGAGTCCGAAACAGAAGAGAATGCCAAAGGTTGAACTAAGTAGAACGTAGACTATGGCCTCGTTTTTTCCAAATCCGCGATCTCTGGTTGGAAGTGACTCCACCAGGGTGTTAACTGCACCCACAGATTTCACACTAGAATATACGGCATAGGCGAACGCTTTTGCTCCCAGCAATAGTTGCATCCTGGCCAGTCCAAAAAGAAATGGTGACACGTCGTTCAGAACATTCAGTAGAGATGATGCGGGATCAAAGTGCCGGGAAAAGCATGCGGCATAGATGCAACCGAGCACTAGGACATAGACTACTCCGGGCAGGGACAATCGGAACCTTTGCGACTTCTTCTCGAACCAGTGCATCTGATAAGCCGTGAGTAAAAGCACAACATTTGTAGTTCTTAAAATGCGGGAGTTACCCATTTTGTTTTGCTTTGTAGTGAAGCTACCGTTTTGACCACCGAACTGACACTGATGATTCTGGCCATGGCCAACAGAGCTCAGCGACTCATCGATTTTGGCATTTTATCTGGCCATCGAGTTGTGACGAACTGTGTGAATTAGCGCAGAGCCGTTTGAAGTTGAAAAAAAAAAATAAATTACACTTCGGTTGAAATTGTTTGTTTAAAGGTAAGCATTTCAGCCAGCTTAAAAAGTTGTAACATTAAAGTTAATGACCTAAACGTGATGCCAGTTATATGTACTGATGCTAGATATGATGCAATAATAATGCCACACCCTCTAGATTTTAAACAATCATTAAAAACTTTTCAAGGCTAAACATAACTATATATGTACGTTATTTTTATATAATAGTTGTGAGATATATAATTTTTTTATAACGAACAATCAAGGCATGTGTGAGATCAAGAAAACCTATTTAGTCAGCTCAAAGTAGATCACAAACAGTAGAACAATACCCCGCATTTATAAATATCAACAGTTAATTATAGGGAAATCCTAATACAAACTTTTCTTCACACTCCGAAATTCCTAAAACAAACTTCGCAGCGAAGTCAGTTGAAACCTTTTAATGTATATTTATAACTGGCGGCGTCTTTTAATCTCCCAGTTCCTATGCCCATATTCTTGGTTAATTAAAATGTGGATCTCCGCTCACAAATATGAAGCGTTTTCAGCACCCAAAGTCCACAATATGAAATGATTTCGGTAAACTGGAACGAATCTCCATAGGTGGGTCTGTGTCAACAAATGATAGCGTTGGATGTCGGCAGCCTAGAAACGACTTCCTACGACAGATGTCTTGGTTGAGGACCACCTCCAACACCGCCGTGTCAACACTAGAAATTAGAAACAATTTAAAAGACGGCGCCGCTGTTTGCGTTTGCCAGACTTAAATATTTGCCAATTGTGTAAAATCTCAAGAATCCAGCTGCTGTTCTTTCATCTGCTCGCCTTGTTGATTTTCCAAGACTCAAAAGACAAACAACACGTGGACCAAATTGAGATCCGCAGGGGAAAACGTTATGATCTGATTTTAGATGAAGGGGATTCCTAAATATATATATAATTTAAAATATATAAATTTTACGGTACAGCTAACCGGTGTTGTACTGGTTTAAATAAAACTTTTTATATATTTAATTTTTATACCCTTGCAGAAGGTATTATAATTTTAGTCAGAAGTTTGCAGCGCAGTGAAGGAGACATTTTCGACCCTATAAAGTATATAAATTCTTGATCAGCATCACTATGAGAAAGAATCTAGCAGGATCGGACGACTTATAGCATAGCATAGCTCCCATAGAAACAATATTTTAATAAAATTCTGACATCTATTTACCGTATACTTTTTAAAAGATTGGAAAGCTTATTCACTATTGACAGATGTTGAACGAAAAAAATATACCAACCAAAAAATAAGTTTCTATTCCTATATTTTGTTCAACTTTACTTATTTACTTTGTCGAATGAGTAAAATGTTTGGTGGTCGCAGAATTTTTGTATGAGTTAACGTTAACGTTGTTTTATGATAACAATTTCTTCAAATGAATTGCTCAAAAACCAGAAAGTTCTCCGTCATTTTTCGCCGGTTTCCATTTACAGTCCTTGCATTTTACCTTTTTGGCGGGCTTAAGAGTCATAATTCAATACATAAATGCAAGGATGACAAGTGGACAGGCCGCCAACGTATCGCATCGAATGCACTCAGAATTGTGCACAGGCTCGCTGTCCGTTCCATGTTTCCTTTGTGGGAGTTAGGAGGAGTGTCTGCATGAATGAAGTAAAATTTACGGCCGCTTTTTGTGCAAGTAAAAGAACAACGCAGGGCCACCGCCGAAATGACCGAGTATCCTGTGATTATATGCAATCGGCTTGTGCGATTTGGGGAGAGGTCCAGGTGCGGAGGCCTGTAAATCTATTAACGCATTGCGGTGAACGGTGCGGGCAGTTCCCCTGCAGGCTGCACCCCCCATCCGAATCCCCTTTCCCGATTGGTCACGCCGTTGATTTTGATGGGCCCTTTTCGGATTCAGTGCAGCCAGCGACAGGACTTATAAAGCAGCGCGTGGGGGCTTGTTGCTTGTAAATGATGCCCGGCAGCGTCACTCAAGGTTTTTTGTTCGAGAATACACCCTGTATTATATCATTGCGGAACTAAAATTTATATCCAATGTGGATTGGATATCCATATTATATTCAGAAGTTTTTCCTAATAAAACAAAAGGATAAATTCTTGATCACGGACATATTCCTAGCCGGGTCCGTCCGTCTCTAAGTTTAAAAGATTAAACTTTCGCAAAAAACAGACAGAAAACTGATTTAAACAAAATTAAAACGTGATTTTTTCAGACAATATAAAACTTTTAGAAATAGACTCTCAATTTTATTACAATCGAATGACTTTATCATTAGCTGCCAAACGAAAGATCTGAAAATGAAAAGAAAAGTACAGGGAAAGTCGGCATGACTTCGTCCTATACGCACATTACTCAATATATAAAAGTAGGATATTTTTTTGTTATGAATCAATAATAATACAGTAATTGAAATCCATTTTAACAATACTTAAAGACTAAAATAATGGTTATTTAATTGATCACAATTAATATGACTTTGAAACTCAAATTCAATTTTCTATACATTAGCATACGAATTTGTGAAAAATTTCTAAGCTTGTGGTCGAGTACCCCTACTGGATATTCGGCACAACTCAGGGTTTGGTTCGGCTGACACGCCCCCTTTTTCGGGCGTTCACTATGGCTTTGCTGGTCATTTGGATGCTATACACAATGATGTTGCTGCCGATGGTGATCCAGTTCCAGTTGCACGAATGTCCAGGAAATTATGATGCATTTTTATGGGTTTTCAGTGTTTTTGCTTTGGTGCAGTTTTTCGACAAGGATTACGTTTCGTCACTGTTCTGCCCCGAAGAAGTGATCTGCTTGGGATGGGGATCCAGTTTTTTCAGAAGCTTCCGGAGCTACGCGTGTTGGTAAATCTTTTTTTTTTTTTTTTTTTGCCGCTCTCGGCCGCTACCTCCAAACTGATTTATGCCTTTTGATGGACGACAGGATTGGGCAATGGGCGATGGGCAAGGATGCAACGAGTGCAACGTACATAAGGAAAAAACGGCAGCGAAATTGAGGGCGAATAAAAATTTATGCATTTTCATTGATATGCAAAGCGCTGTTGCAGGCCGAAGATGAAGAAGAGAGAAGAGAAGAGAAGAACTTGTGTGCGCGTTTCCGTTTCCGCTGCACTGCCACGAGGTCGAGTGGGTGGATGGCTGGATGGGTGGATGGGTGTGGGGTGGTCGAATGACTGTGCGTAGGTCGACATGTTTGGCGTATTGTCGAATTGCATAATATGCACTTTTTCATCGGCCATCCGCCAAAAATTTACAGCGCTACACACATCGATTTATTGCCTGACAATTGTCCCGAATCCACCAGCGCCACAACAATGGGAATGCCAGCGTCGATGCCCATCGTCCAATGGATTTGTGTCCATGTCCGTGTCCGTGTCCGTGTCCCTGGCTCGGTTATGTCCTGGCGCCGCACCAGGTTGAGTTATGAGTGGTGCTGCTGCTGGCGACCGATTGAATGCGATTTTCCATTGCAATTCGAGTGTTTTTCTCGCACTTTTGCGCCTTTTTTGGTCTGGATTCCATCAGCGAATTTCAATAAAATTTCGGAGACACATCCTTCGTCCGTCGAACGGGGATCGCGATATGTGCGTATCCATCCATTGACGCCAATTCGTGTGAAAAATAATGTTTTTAATATTGACAAACATGAAAAATGTGAAAACAATAATCGTAAATTTTTATTAACAGGGAAGTGCAAAAACAAGGGAAACCACAACAGGAGCAATGCTGCAATTGCCAAAAAATGTCACAGCAAAAAGTAATCACAATTATGAGAGTTTTAGTTATATTTTGTCGATGGCAAGTTGAATCAATTACCATGCAAAATATTATGAAAAACGTTAAAAAAAATTTGCGATTCTGTGTTTGCTGAGGAAGTGATTTTTTTTTTAAACAAACACATTTATAATTATATTTGCATTTTTTTTTGTGAATAATATTGATTTAAGAATTTATGGATCCGTCATAACAATAAACTAAAAAATTTATCGCAAGGAAGTGTTACGCATTCTGATGAAACATAAAACCTTAATTATTATTATGACATTGTAACTGCTATGTATTTTAGATGCAAATTGCTTAAACTTACCCAGAGGATATTTAATGTGAATAATTTAATCAGAAAGGTAAAACAACAATCATTTGCTTAAAAGGCCATGTGTTTGAATCCACCTCGAATCAAGGTTTTGTTCTGTTTTTTATGTACATTGTATCAAAATTCCAATAGATATTTATCAATTGTGTTTTTCTGTTAAGTTTTTGCTCTTAAAGTTTTTGGGAAAACTAGTAGAAATGGTAAAATTTTTAAAAGAGTGTGCCTTGAAAAAAATGACATGCCCCGAAAATAAAATTTAACCAACCTGGTTGTCACGTATTAACCATAGGCTTATTCACAATCCAGCTGCACTACAGGACACAACTTCTGGCAAGTCTCCCAAAAATTGTTTTGACTAAGGATTTTAATACATTTTTGGTAGTGTAGTCATTTTATCCAGTTTTAGAAAATGGCTGATGGCTATAGGCAATTCAGGAAAAGGGTTGTGGCATTCGCCGATGATTTGAGGGACGGTGAAATTTCTGAGACCCTTGGAACGGATCCAGAAGCCGAGCAGTTCGATGATGGCTACGATGAGGACCTGATGGGCGATGCCGAGGATAGGGCACGATTGCAAAGTTTCAGGCGGGAGGACATGAAGCGCAAGCTTAACATCCGAAATCAGCTGGCCAGGAGTCGGTTGTCATCCCAGCAGCAGGAGGACTCCGGACAAAAGGAGCGTTCGCAGACCAGGCGGCAGAACTTGGATGACCAGCGGGCTGGAGACAAGAAGACCTATGCCTTCGGACGCTTGAAGGCAGTGCGGAGCCAGAAGCTGGCCAAGGACAAGAGTCTGAAGGCCGCGGACATATACTCCGATGACTCGTCGAGCAGCAGTGGGGAAGAGAGCGTTTCCCGGTCTGTTTCGCAGCCGGCACGCACGGATCAGCCACAAGTGACCACCAGGGAGCAGTTGAGCCAGGCGATGCTGGCTCGACACCAACTGGAGAGCTTTCTGGACAAGCCCGTCTTCGAGCAGACTGTGGTGGAATGCTTTGTGCGGGTCAATGTGGGCCACGGATCCGCGAACTGTGTGTACCAGGTTGTGGGCCTGTACCGGGACAGTGAGGACTACCTGCTGGGCAGCAAGCGGACCAACCTCGTCCTGAGCTTGAAGCATGGCGCTCAGAAGCGCTATTCCCGGATGGACGTGGTCTCCAACCAGCCGATTACCCACGAGGAGTTCTGTCGCTGGAATGCACCCTTCTACAGAGATGATGTCGACTGCACAGAATGGGTAAGCCGCTTTACTTTTAGTGTGCCTTTCAGACCAACCCGCAACTACCATCCTCTGAACTATCCAAGATGTACATCAAATTTTGGCCTAAGTAATAACTATAAAAACGTATATAATCAAGTTTGTACTTCAACCTCTATCCCTGTTATGAAAACTTCAATTTTAACATATTTGCACGAACCCTTTCGAGTTCTAAGTAATAACTATAAGAACCTATATAAACAAGTTTGTACTTTAACCTCTATCCCTGTTAGTTTGTTATTTTTTTATAAATTTATTTGTGTTGTCCTCGCGAACTTGATTAAGTGCCCACAACCCAACAATCTACTATCTGCAGGTCAAGCCAACTCTTCTCGAGATCGCCAGGAAGCAGTTGGAAATCCAAAGGGCCGCCGAATATTCATTCACCGAGGATGATGTAGACAAGCTGGTACAAAGTAAGAGGACAGGTGGTCAGAGGCAGAGGGCTGCTCACCAAAAGATCTACTTGCTTATGGAAACTACAAAGGCCGCGGCACTGGAAGATCCCGAAAAAGTTAAAAGGCTAGAGAGAAAAATCCAGCAGATAGACGAGCGGCAGGTCGAAGCATCTCGCGACCACCGCGTCCAAGTCCCCAAAACCCTTGTGCCCAGTATTTGCCGACCCGATTTGAACGCCTCTTCCGGGACCAAGCGATCCCTTGCTGATAGGCAGCCCACTTCGGAGGAGTTCGAACTGGAGCAGTGTATGCGACGCAAATACAAGAAGAGTGCTGTGGTCAGTCGCAGTCGAGTGCAAGCCGAAACTGCAGATTTGGAAGAGGTTGCCGAGATTCCCGAGACCCCATTGGCTCCCAGCGAAAGTTCCGAGGTGTCGGAGGTGCCGCAACTGGATTTGTATGCACTGCACAACTTTAAAGCTGTCATCAATACCTCAGGATTAAGTAAGTACAGTTCAGTACATATACATCTAAACTAACATTCCTATTTTATAGTTCCCTTCACCTCAATCTTCCCAAATGTCAAGTTCAACAGCGATTGGAAAACATAAAAAAACGGATTTTGAATTACAATTGAATTCATTCATTTTATTTATACTTTATATATCATTAGAATTAATTAACTAATAGATCAGGTTAAACTAACTACCAAAAGAGCATTAACAAATTAATTATTTAATATTTTCGTCCATAATTGCCACTTTTTCTAATTGACTCTGCAAGATCATCCAATCGAGTCTTCGAACTTGATTTTGATAAATAGCTTGGGTCACTTTAATTGGTAAGCAAATACTTGTTTCCTTTTAAAATATATAAATTTCCTTTTTAAGTTCTACAATATCATACAAATTACTGCATTTTAAAAAAAGTCATTAGTTAAACACCTTTTTAAAATCTTTAATATTGTGACAAAAAATATAAATGTAAAATATTTCGCTGTATTTCGCTTATTAAATATTCTGGTTTTTAAAAATTGTTCCTATTTTAACGATGAAGCACTAAGCTCACCCTGCACCATCTAAAGTAATTCCAAAACTGATTTTGAAGATACATTTGCACTTGTTTCTTTTGATTTGATAACAAAAATGACAAACCTGAATGAAATGTGTAAAAACCAGTCGTTTGACGAATTACCTGACAATCCTATGCACATAATAGTTTCTAGTCAACGTTTCACTTAATTTTATAACGTTATTAAAATTCTCTTTTTCAGTTAAGTATTTTTGCAAGTACTAACAAAAAACAAGTGCTTCAAGAGCTCCAGTGAACTCCGGAGAGTCGTGTTCGAAATCCAAACGAGCAAATGCATTCCAAAGGTTCAGCTGGCGGAATTCCTTGTGCCCAAATATGTAAAGCTGCCCTGGCCAGGGCTGGCGAAACGGAGGATCCCGGGGGGCGGGACATCTTGCAGCTTGTGTTGTGTTGTGTAGTGCGGAGTCCTTCGGTGGAGATGCGCGCGCGTTCCAGGACACATCATCATCGTAAATCATGGTGGGCTTTCTGCTTTCTCTGGTCGTCTCGTTGGGCGATGGCTCGGACATTTTCGGTTTTCTCGGACGCTGGTCGAGTCTAAACATAAAAATAAATAAAACGCTTGGCTGACAGCGGCTTCGCGCAGGACCTCGCACTTGGAAAAGGACTCGAATCTCCTTCTCGAATCGTACTATTTTTTTCCTCCTGCCCTTTGAGTGCTGCACACAAAAATTCGCATCGAATTGGTGGAGAATTTCTGTTGCAGTCAGGAGTTGTTGTTTGGACACATCGCAGGGATGTGCTGGGGAGGCTGCGCCTCCAAAAGGATTTCATAAAAATTGCGCAATTTAAAATGTCACAACATAAATTCTGTTTGCGTTTCTTTATGCAGGCAGGCAGGCAGGCAGGCAACAAAGCGAGCGCCAAGCGCGAAGCACAATAAGTATTAAATTTTGTTAGAAGGACCTCTCGCACACAGGGCCTGCGAAATGTCCTTCGACGCAGGCCAAACAACAACAACAACAACAATAACCAGGGAGCTGGAGAAGGAGCACGAGCAGCGAAGTCTTGGCGCTGACGCCGCTGACTGGCTGTCGAGCGAGTGAACGAAATGGCAGCCGGGAAACAAAGGAAATCCAAGTGCACACACACAGATGCACCCAGACGGGACACTCGGTGGCGGAGGATGCTCCTCCTGCGAGGAGGTGGCTGCGCTTAGGTGGCCTCCTCCGTCCACTCCTCCAGCTCGTCAGTGGCATCATCGCAGGTCCTTCCTGCGCGTCCTTGCCTCTCTGTCGCTCCCGTTGGCCGCCAGACAGCGAGTTGAACTCTCGATGTTGTCGGCGCTGTCGTCATCGTAACTTTTCGTTTGTCTTCTGCTTTGCTTTTAGATTTTTTTCACAAAAAAATAATAATATATATATATTTATGCCCTAGAAAAACTCAAAACGATGGGACAACCCTAGAAATCATGATGCATCAAAGTGTTGTAATATGAGAAGAATACAAAAGCCCGTTTTAACAGTGTTTCTCGCAGTGGACCTACTGCGCAGTGTTCGTCAGTGACATAAATCAAAGAGCAGTGTTGGTGAATGTGAATGTCCCCTTTTGCGTGTGAGTGTGAGTGTGTTTGTTCGAGTGTGCAGGAGACTTGAAGCAACGCCCATTGTGCAACACTTTCGTTTTTTTGCAGCTTCCTCTCAGGACCCTTTTTTTGTGTTGGGGTCCTTTCTTTTTTCCCCACTTGCCATTTGTCGTCCTCCTGTGTTTTGTTTGCTTTTAATTTTTTGGCCCTGTGTGAGTGCAGCTCCCTCAACGAGTTGTGTGTCCGTGGAAAGGATTCCCTTGCTGTGTGCGAGTGTCCTGCTTTTCTGGCGTCAACTTCACATTCGAAGCCCGAGTTGTCCTTCTGGTGGTCGTAACTATTTTTGCTCCTGGTTGGACATAATCGCGTCTGCATTATTGGTTGATGTTTGTTGCCTGCACTTTGCATACGGCGACGAAAAAAAAACACACCAGGATCTCTGCCACGCCCATCCGCCCGTCCGCTCCTTAGCCCCGCATCCTTTATCGCCCGGCAGCGTGTTGCAAGTTAGGTGGGTTGGAGACATAAATATTTTGTTTGTTCATCCTTCCCTAGTTCTCTGGCACTTTTCTTTTTTCCCATCCAATTCAGCCCCTCTCGGTTGTTTTCCTTTTTGCAGATTATGTGTGTTTTGTTGCCTGACAGGGATCAGCATAAAATGTTGCAAGCTGAGCTTTTTTTAGAATTCCCGGGTAATTGCAGGGTGTAAATGGTATACAGGGATATGGATTTAAAAATAAATAATATTTTTTCTTAATTCATGAGCGCGTTTCATTGTTATTTCCGCTTTTCCATTGTATTTAAATAACTGGGAAAGTCTTTACAAGTTAAAATATTACTAATCTTGACAAATGCAGTCTACAAGTATGATTTCGTAAATTGTTTATTAGAAAAGATTTGTCTTGTATAGAAATAAATTATAATAATCTTGTATACAAACCAAATACGCGTGTCGTTGTATTTTGACGTGTCATTTCTGCATCCTTTCCGAATCTTCCATGATCGTAGGAAAATAGTATTTTCTTACCAAACACAACTTGGTTTTTTACTGCTAATATCCTAGTCGAGCAACGCTCGTGTCACTTTTTTCCACAATTTTCCCCTTAACCTCTATGTTTGCTTTCGTCCGAAAGGTGTGTTTTAGTATGGAAATTATCCTCGTACGGCTGGGTAGGTGGTATGTGTATGTGTGTGTCCGAAAAAACGGGTTAAATGTTGTGGCGAATTTGTAATTAGAAATTGTCGCTTGGCGCATTTCATTCTGTTTGCTTGTTCCGCTCCTTGTTTGTTTGTTTACTAGCTGGTTTAGAAGATTCCCTCACTTTCGCATACGGCAGACATTAAATATTTTATTCAAGTTGATTGTTCCTTTGTTGTAACTGAAAAACGAATTTAATATTTCACATATGGGTTTCGTTCTGTTCTTGAATGAACAAGAGAAAATGGGTCCGAAAGACTACATTTTATTCAACAATACAGGCGAAGAAAAAAATATCTATCGATTTAACAGCTACTGTAATAAATCGAATGATTTACAACGACCACCCACCACTCCTTAAATCATTTTTATAATTCACTTGCTCTGTGTTTCCTCAGCGACCTCAATACTTTCATTAAATCGTTTATTTTAACAACGGACAGCAAAATGCAAGATGGAACAACCCTTTATGAATGATTATTGGGGCTGCAGATGCCAATTCCTGGCTTCCCGTAATGTTAAGGATGCGATAAGGGGACTCGAATGGAAACGGCTTCTCTCGGCTTGAATTAATTTATAGCGGCGACGCATTTACTGCTTTTGTTCATCTTCATGCCTGGTATATTATGCTATTTCGTTACTTTCAACTTTACGATCATAAATGTCCCAAAGGGTTTGATTTATAGCACAAACTTTTGCGCTGAACTCCAACAAATGTTCGACGCTATATAAATATGGTTCACCTTTTTTTTCAACTCAAGGTTAGAGTATGATGAGTGCAAAAGAAGCATGAAACATATTTATATCCTTGCAGAGGATATTTTAATGTATTTTTACTCGACTTTAAAAAGCCCTTGTTTTTTTTTAACTAGCATTACAAGGGTAGTCAAATTAGTCTGTCCGACTGCCTTTTTTCGGAAACAAAAATCAAAACAGCCAACATTTTATTTAAGAAGCTTACTTTTTTCTGTTTTTCTTTTAAAGTGTATCTTACTTTTTAAAATTTGTGTACCTTGTTTTTAATGCCAAATTCAATTTCAAAGTAGTCATAGTATTTTTAATTGCATTATTGGCCATAAACTCCAGATCCCATTTTACATTATTAAATACATTTTGTAATGCCCATGTGATATTTTATACATTTGTTTGAAATGAAAACGAAACTTAGAATATTTTTTAATGTTCATATTAATCCCTAACGCTCTTTTTGCATTTAAAAAAGCCGAATTTAGGTTGCACCATTTCTGTATAGCTAGTAAAGTGTTGTATTTACTTTAAAAGTATTTCACAAGAAACGTGAAAAGGAAGCTTTTCCAATCCTATAAAATAGTACAAATATAAATAAATTCTTTATAAGGATCATCAGCCGAGTCCATCTAGTCATGTCTGTCCATTTGTCCACCTTCCTAATTAATGTTAAAATCTCGGGAAATATAAGAGCTAGAAAGTTGGTATTTTATAATGAAACGCATTATTAAATACCAACTATCTATAGAAAATTAAAAAAACAAAATTCCAAATTATTTTTATTTATTTTATTTTCAATCAACGCACCAAAATGTTTAAATGTTTAAGTTTAAAGTTTCACGAACCATTTGTTCTTTTCCATCATAATTGCCTGCTTCCGAGTAAAAGTCCCATTCAAACTTATGTTCCATCAGCTAAGGGTTCCGCGGTATAGCTAAGAAATTTTGTCATATCAGAGGTTTAAGCTTCAAGCCGGAGAATTTTATATTATAATACGGATAAGTATTGAGTGAGTTTGTCAGCAAAATATGGGCTATAAAATTTTAGCTTCCAGCTACAAGCCGACTGCAAGTAGTGCGTGCGTCCTGCATCCACAGTTCAAGTGGTCAGCTTACATTGACGGGAGCTGCTGTTCATGGGCGTGGCAG